TATAAAACTCAAAGCTGCACTTCAAAGCCTCTAAAATATGCTGATTTTTTTTGTCTAGACCATCAAAGCTGCATCTTTCAAGTCCGTTGGCGTCAGTGAACTTGTTTCTGGTTGTATGAGCCACTTTAATATTATCATTTTCTGCAGAAAGCTTTATTATTTACTCTGCGGGTTTCTCATAAACCATGTTTGTCTGGAATGAAAATATGCAAACATTTTTGTACTCAAGCTAGGTGATGATGAAACATGCTTAAAAAAATGCATAATGAAATATTAGTAACCACTGCAGCTTTGTGTCTGCAGGTTGACCTACACCATTGTGAGCTCAACACAGTATGGCCTGAAGAAACAAACAGATTACAGTAGTCGCTCACTGCTTCACGGTTCAACCTTTGTGGACTCACTCTATCGTGGTTTGTGGACATGAAGTCCATAATATTGTACATATGTACAGGATATGATTGTCAACATTACTATTACTCACATGGTTGGGGCAGTACTGGATACAGTAATGTACAGTAAAAAGTTAACAAAAAATAAAATACTTCGGACAGGCGCTACCATTTTGTAATGTTCTCTCAGTAAGCCTCCACTGAATTCCCGCTCATAATAACCACATTTCCCAGAAGGCAACAGGGCCCCACCCAGAAGACCAGTTTTCCTTCTGCTGAAAAAAAAAGGTAAAGTTTTGATCTGATCGCCGCCCAGTGGATGCAGAGAAGCCGCACTGAACCCACCAAACCAAACCAGAAACACAGCCGAACTAGACTGCCAAACCCACTGGCAAATTTTGAGAGCTAGTATCCAGACAACGAGAACTTAATCGTGGAAATGTGTGCCGAAAGGTCCGGAGCTGTTTCCATAGCCCATCAGGACTTTTTTCATCCAGAATTAGACTCAAATGGACTACCTACGGTTCCACGCCAGCCAACCGAAGTCTGCCCCCCATCTCTAACCTCCAAAAGTGCTTTGGTGCTCAAGAGCTGCACTGAACCGGACCAGAACTGGACCTCCAGACTCAGCGGTGGACCTGAGAGGTCCTAGCCAGCCAACGAGGACCTCTATGCGGGGACGCGCTGGCAAGTAAAAATTTATTAACTACGGTACATATAAGTATGTTGTTAAAATGTGTAGGTTTACGAGTTTAGTACATTGATTGTGAGCTTCATCGCTGCAGGGTACATCCGCAGAAACAGAACCGAGTCGGACTGGAACCGAGAGCTGCTCCTGTTCTGCAGAGCCTGGTAAGTAAAACTTAGTAACTACATATGTAATGTATGTATGTTGTTAAAATGATGCAGGCTTAAGAGTTTAGGGCATTGCAAGAGTGTGGGAAGGGTTTATAAAGCCTTAATATATATATAAATACTAAAATAAATAGAACGTTGCTATTTCACAAAGTTTCACTTACTGTAGGCAGGTTCGGAACCAAACCCCCGCAATAAATGAGGGACTACTGTATTGATACAAATGTGTAGGGCCCGTAATACAATGAGTCAAAACCTGCTCAAAAAATGTTAAGGTTTTACTAATTATAGACTTCTCATTTAATGTTTAGATAGATTTCTTCTAACAGACATTGATATGATAATTTTGTGCGTTAGGAAGGCTGGTTTCATGGTCACTCAAAAACATTTGAGCATTTTATTTTCATTACTAGAACAAATCAGTTCATTCAGCAACATTTTAGTATTTAGAGAATACTAATCCCATTTGACAGAAAGATGGAGCTGGTGATAAGACTGCTATTCTGTAGGCTATGTTGTTGGATCATTTTACTGATGAGGAGGACATACAGTCATTACAGGCATATTTTGATTATCCAGTGCTGTCTGGTGTGGATCAACAAATACCTGCTGCACAACGAGCAATGTGCTGCTGTTAAAATGTGAAACAAGGATTAAATGGCATACCTTTTGTTTTCTTATTTCACAGCAAGACTTAAAGCAGGTACAACAATTTTAGTGGGTGCTTGTTGGGGCAATATAGATGTGTTAAGGTGGCAAATTTCAATAATTAGATGTAAAAACTATGTCAAGGTTAAGTTCAGATCAATGAAATGTATGAAAATGAAAAACGGGAGGCTTCACTGAAAGGGAACAGAAATTGCACCTCCTCTTATAGTCGATCCTCAGCTGGTTTCCATGGTTACAGTAGAGGAGCCTGATCTATTTTCAAAAGCTGTAAGTTAATGGTTCTCAATGAGCTGCACTGTAAGTGTGTACAAGGGGATGTAGTAGGAATGCAAATGTATCACAGAGTGTGCAGGGGAATTCTTTAACAGGGAAATTGGAACATGAAGCTGCAGCGACGGCCTCAAAAACTGGATTAGCTGCTTATCAACACCAAAGGTTGTTATCATGTTTATGAAGCAGAATTATTTCTTGCTGCAGAGCCACAGCATGAGTATACTTGCAGCAGAAATGACTGTAGTTTGGTTTTATAACAATGCAACATAGAGGTTTGCATGAAAATGTTTTGAGATCAGGGAGAAATTAAAGGCCACGTTGTCCGTCCAGCTTACATGCCAGACTTTTAACCCAAGATTATATTTTGATGAGAAACAACAGAGTTACGGTTGACTTAGTCATACCCTGTAAATAATGTTATGCAGGATCGCACCCGATATTACAAAGATATGGGCGATGCATAAGCACTTGGAGCATGTGATGAAGATGGCCCACAGCCACTACCAAACAAAATTAATCTCATTATGTGTAACAAAATATTGGGGTTATAGCCATTTTCATTTTGGCTAAGTCCAGTTAGCTATGGCAGCAATCTTGACAGTTGATTCCCTTTGTAGATGTACCTTCAACAATAACTTAATTAAATATGTCATATGATTCATTATACAAACAAACAAGCAAAAACTTCTCTCTTTGCCTTTTGGTAGTGTGACTGATGCAAAAATTAGATTTAAACAGCAGGAAATTGCTCAAAACTCAAAATTAGGTTGAATTTTTTGTGTTGGCAGCTGACTTTATAGAGTAGGGCATGATGATTAACAAAAACATAAAACGTTTAAAAAAATGATGTGCATCCTTTGGCATGCGGTGTTGAAAAGTCAGGCCAAGTCCAAACTTCTTTAATTTGCAGTGTTTGAGTGCTCACTTTTTTTAAAGCTAGCATCAAATAATGGAAACATGTCACTGCCTTTTCTTCTCCTTAACCCACTTATTAAAAATGTGACCTGGCACGCAGGGCCCAGTGAATGCTCTAGAGGCTGAGCTTAAATCCCACTGTATGAGTGACAGCGATAAAGCTGCTACTCCACTCCAGAGAACTGTCCTTGATTCTGTCTGTTCCTCTTTCTGAGACTCGCTCTCTTCTGCCAGGTTGTTGGAACAAATTAGACCCAAACACACAAATGACACGAGCAAAAAAAATAAAAATAAAAATGCATTGATGATGATGTTATTTATGTACAAGTAGAAAACAACAACTGTGAGCTGCAAATTGTAATTTGATAGATATGAACTGTTTGTTGCATTCGTTTCTGCTGACTAAGGTCTTTACGAAGTCACTGTTAAACATGTTACAAGCCTTTTACTGTGTAACCTGATGACTTCTTTCCTCAGTGAAAACATCTGAATGTGTCCTGCATAGTTGGCAAATAGTCACTTTGAAAACTCCTTCGAGTGTAAGAAAATAATGTGTGACCTCAACAACTGCTGATGGAAGCTCTTAGGTATGCCAAGAAACTGACCAGAACAAAACAGAAACCTACCCATGGCATCAAGTTTTGCATTGGTGCCGAGATACAGATACATTTTCTCCATTGGTAATAATTAAATGTTAGTTTTAAGTAAACATTGTCATTTAAGCAAATTACAGTACAGCTGAAGAAATTGTATTTCCTGCAAAAGTGCAGTGTAGAACTGGCTTATAAAAGCTGAAATTAGCTAAAAAAAATGCTGAAATGTAGCTGAAAAGAAAAAAAACAAACAAGCCTAAATTAGCAGAAGAAAGCAGGAAAAACATATTTGCTGAATTAGGTTTAAATACGCAGAAATGAGCACAAAAAGTTAAGAAATTAGCTAAAAATAAGTTAAAATTAGCAAAAAAGGAGCTGAAAAGTAGCTGAAACAGCAAAAATAAGCTTAAGTTACCAGAAGGAAGTGGAGAGAGATCTTTTTTTTTTCTGAATTAGACTGAAAAAAATTAAAATTATTGCAAATAATCTGGATTTAGCTGAAAAGACTAAAATTAGCAGAAAACAGCTAAATAGTAGCTGAACTAACTGAAACTAGCAGAAATAAGTTGAAAGGAGCACAAGCTGAAATTAGCAAAAAATAATTTAATTGGGCTAAAAGTAGCAGAGATTAGCTAAATAAAAATTAAATTTTCTGAAAACAGCTTCAATTAGCTAAAAACTGCTAAAATGGCAGCTGAAAAGGTAGAACAAGCTGAAATTAACAGAAAGAAGTTAGAAGTACAAAAATGTTGTAGTTAACAGAGATAATCTAAAAGGATCACAAACAGCTGAAAAAACAACTGAAATTATTAGTTGAAACTAAGTAGCTGAAAAATGTTGAAATTTGCACAAGGAAGCTGAAAGAAGCTGAACCAGAACAAAATATGAAAGGAGCAGTAAAAGGTTGTAAACAGAAGATATGAAGGATGTAAATGAGCTCATTTCATTTTCTAAGAGAAAAAAATAGCAGAAAAGGCTAAATATTTTTAAAAAAACTAACGTTGCACCAATACCAAAAGTCATAGCACCCTTCTCCTGAACGAGATGAACATTTTGATATATGATTTGTTGAAATAGCACAAAAACTGTGGAATGAGAAAGATGCTGAAAATGTACAGAAGAAAAATAGATCACAATAGTGTGCATGCTTCATAAACATTCACACGATTAAACAGCAACTCTAAACTGGGCCTTCATCGTGCAGCATCCAAAACATTCAAGTACAAACAATCATTCAGGCATCTGCAGCTACTGATTAGCTCCTGCCGTCATGGTAACAAGTGTTTAAAGTTTATTATCTTACCCATTAGCCAGGTTTTCATCTTCATCATCTGGCAGGCTTTTCCCTTGAAGGTCAGTGTCACTCAGGTAACCAGACTTGAGGTCAGCATCATCGAGACCCTCTATAAGCTCGATGCGGGATGTGCTGTTGAGGCGGCTGGAGCAGCGAGCAGGCATTGTGTGAGCTGTGTACTGCGAAGAGCTTTTACTGCCCTGGTATCCACTGCCTGTTGAGGACGGGGCGTCGCCGGCCTGGAGACGGGGACTGGATTGACCGTGGCGCCAGGACAGAGGTGAAGAGCGGTTCGACAGGCTGGATATGCTGCGAGCATTGGTCTCATCGCTGTCATAGCCCACGTTACTGCTCTCCATACAGCTAGACAGAGAAACACGCAGGTTGGACCTTTATTAATAAGCACTTCACATGCAAGAGGATATGCAGTGGAAGTGGTCTCCAGATACAAGTACTTGGGTGTGCATCTGAACGACAACCTCAACTGGGGCAATAACACTACCAGCCTGATCAAGAAAGCACATCAGAGTCTCTATTTCCTCAGGCGGCTGAGGTGAGCTGGACTGGGAAGCTCGGTCCTCACCTCCGTCTACAGGTGTGCAGTGGAGAGCATCCTGTGCTCCAGCATCAACGTGTGGCATGGAGGCTGCACAGCTGCAGAAAGAAAAGCTCTGCAGAGAGTGGTGAAGGCTGCACAGAAGTCTGGAGTCAGCCTCCCCAACATCACAGACATCTACACCTCCAGATGCAGGAAGAAAGCCACCTGCATCATGAAGGACCCCACTCACCCAGCACACACACTTTTTGCCCTGCTCCCCTCTTGAAGGAGGTTGTGGAGCATTAAGTGTAGAACCGCTAGACTGAGGAACAGCTTCTACCCTGAAGGTGTTAGACTCACCTAACAGGGGCGGCTGTGGCTGAGTGGTTAGAGCAGTCGTCCTCCAATGCGAGAGTTGGGGGTTTGAATCCACCAGCAGTCACATGCTGAAGTGTCCCTGGGCAAGACACTGAACCCCTCATAGCCTCTGATGTGTGTCCCATCAGTGTATGAATGTGATTTAAAAGCACTGATTAGTCTCATTAGAATAATTTGTTCAATTAGCTTTGTAGAGATCTAGTAGAGGGCTGTATGAATGGGTAAATGAGGACACAGATTGTAGTGGAAAGTGCTTTGAGTATCTTGAAATAAGATAGAAAGGCGCTATATAAGTACAGTCCACTTACCACTCATAAATCCCTAATGTAATGCCACTTTGTTGATATGTGCTGCTGATTATCCATGCTGTTAATCTCATGCTGCTGATTATTTCATGCTGCTATTCATTTGTGCATGTGGTGCAAATGACAATAAAGAACCTTGAGCCTTGAAGAGTCTGGACAAAACCCAAAATGCACTTCACTGATCCTGAAAGAACGTCCAAACCAAGTGATCTTGTCCCAGATACGATAGTTGTGTCACTACATCCTCAGAGATTAAAGCCTGATACCTCTCACAGCTTGAAGACAACAATGATGGCCTTATATCCTAAAATACAGTTAAAAGTTCTGGTATGCCTGTTGTCTGTATGAGAATACCAAATTTAGGCTTTTATTGTTATACTGTATGTAGGTCAGGGTTAAAACGCCCACCAAAGAGCTCTGAGCATCTTCAGTTCCTGTCGATTATATAACTTCATGAACCAAGTCACCCAAATAAATATTGCAAAGCCTACCAACATGAGTATTTTTATCCTCTGCTTATGGATAATTCATTATTAAAGAGGCTGATTTTTTTTAATTTTGTTTTATGTTTTGTTAGAAAAGATTGTTTTTCTTCTGATTTTAACTTCACGTGTCTTAAAATTGTGTGGAGCACTTTGCACATGAGGTGAAAGCTGCTGTTTGACTTGACTGCTACATTTATGCATTCATTTTCAGCAAACGAATGTGAAAGTTCATAACATAAAACAAAATATTGAAACTAATTTTGTGCCTTTCAATAATTTGAAATGTACTAAAAGTACTAGAAGTTTTTATAACTTAAGGATTTTTAATGAAATGACGTTACAGACAAAATTAGCTTAAGCATAACAAGAATATAACATTTAAATTATCTGAATATGTTGTTTTATGAAGAAAATGATTGATGCTCAGTAAAACAGCAGTCTAGTAAAAACAGCAGTCAGGTCTGATGCATATTTATGTGATTTATTCTAACATTTATTACATTCAAATAAAATGTCATTTCATTTTCTTATTTTATGATCAGGAAAACAGCACAACAAGCTAACACAGCAGATGCTTAAGTGTGGTGGCAAAAGTTAATTTACACAAAAGCGGACTAATTTAATCCCTTCCGTTTCGCCGCTGACAGTCAACAGATATCCGCTTATTTTATTTCTTGATCAGTTTAGGACAACTAAACCATTTTTACAATTTTCCTGCATACCGCTTCATCTGTCATTTATTTTGTAGATTATTCACACTTGGCATGAGCCACATGTTTTATCCTCTGTGCTACACAACAATGTGTAGATTTTGAGGTTCTTTAAAGGTCTGAGCTGTGATGCAGTTCCTGAACCGCATCAATGTCATCTTCTTCCACAGGAGGAATCTTAAAGAGTAACTGTGTAGTGCACGTGTTTTTGAAAAATGGAACAAGTTTGATAAAAATGTCAGTTTTTGATCAAATGACTGGCTGGAGCAGCAGATATCCAGGTGCACTGGTGGAAACAGAAGCTGAACGAATACACTGATCTGCATGTGGGGTTACAAGAAGTCTTCTTCCTTCCTCCTCCATTTCTGTGCAGGGACAACTACAATACAACAAGCTCCTCATGTAAATGTTTTATTTTAAGCTTGTCCTGATCACCTGTTTTTAACACTGATGTGTTAATTTATTGTGTAAATAAAGTTTTGTTAAAAATCAAAAATCTTTTTCTCAATTTCCCTCCCTTCATTTTTCTCTGCCTTCCTCTTCTTCATTTTCTCCCTCTTCTTCCTTCCTCTTCCTTCTTCCTCTCCCTTCTTCTTCTTCTTCCTTCCTCTCTTCCTCTCCCTCCCACTTCTTCCTTCTTTTTCCTTTTCTTCTTCCTTCCTCTTCCTCCTCTTCTTTCTGTTTCTTCCTTCCTATTCTTCCTTCATTTTTTCTTCCTCTCCCTTCCTCTTTCTCTGCCTTCCTCTTCTTCCTCTCCCTTCATCTTCCTCCTTCCTCTCCCTCCCTCTTCCTTTCTTTCTTCCTCCTCCTTTCTGTCTTCTTCCTCTTCCTCCCTCTTTTTCCTCCTTCTCCTCCTTCTTCTCATTATACAGAAACATGTTTCCTAAGTGACAGGAGGTCTGATCATTCCAGAAGATGCTCTGATCACCTCAGTCTGCAGGACACAGCGATGCAGTCTCTGTGTGATGTGGGAACAGGCCACATTTAGTGTAAAAAAAAAAAATGTTGCCCTTTTTTTTGTCTCATTGATGTTTAGAATATTAAAACACAGAGAATCTCAGACCTTTACAATATAGTTAGGAAACTGCACATAAGCATAATTTTTCTTTCATATCGAATTTACATAGAAATACAAATAAAATATAAAAATAAGTAAAACGAGAGCTTTATTTTGTGACACAGAACATTAAACTCTAATGACCCGATCAAAGTTTTAACGACGGAGTTTGTTGTTTGAATCCTTCTTGCCTTCAAAACTGTGTTGTACTGTGGTGGTTGAGACATTTCTGTTTGTGTCTTTTGCTGATTAGCCCAAAACAAAAGATTCCTGAAATTCACTCATCAGCATCAAACACAGAAAGGCCGTTAAGGAGGGATGGAAGCCAGATGTGCACCGACTCTCCAAGCAGCACGACTGTTTACTGATTGGGCTTCAGGCTGAACTGATCCAGCAAACTCCTGCTTGGATCACATGTTTTACATCAATCTCAACTTTAAAATAATTTATTTTCGGATGTTTTGTGCTCACCTGTGACTGAGCTGGGAGCCCCGGAGACTCGTCATCGTGTCTTCCAGATTCTGACGGAGATCGAGAACGTTCTGCACCGTCCGCTTCCTCTGGGACTCAGGATCTGTGACAAAATAAGAGTCATTTAGAAAATGCCTTTTTTTAAATTGTTGTGGTCTGTTTTCTAAGAGTATTCACTTAAAACGGAGAAATTGCTTTTACATGTGCATTCTGGCTTGGCTTATTTGTGTCTGACAGCTGTTTTCCATGTAAGAACCCAAACAGTGCATGCTCACATCATTAGGCCAACACATTTTACTTGATGGGCTGCTTCAATGTGGCAACCACACCCCTCTGAACTGAAGTGGCACATCCCAAAGCTGAAAACTCAGATGTTGTCTGTAACTAACAAATTCAAACCACAACAGGATCTTTTTCAGATGTTTGCCTATTGAAAGCTTGTTTTCTGTTCTGCAGTGCATTATATTGAACAATCATGGCACGAGCAGTAAAACTCTCTGAGTTACAGCCAGAACAAATTCACTCCTCGTCAGCGTATTCGGACCAAGCTGCATCCAATGTAAAACATGCGGCCACTGAGTTCGGTCCATGTCAAATCAATATCAGCGGTGTTGTTGTGTTAACTGTGACAGGAACCTCCATATCTCTAAAACTGCAGTGTTGGTTCAGAGCAAACACAGAAAAGGAAAGCCCAGAGGAAAGAAAAATGAATTAACTGGAAAGTTTGAAATATTACTAATAACTTCAGTAGAGCATGGGTGGGGGGGTGGGGGGGGGGGGGGGCGCAATTAGAAATATCATGTTATTAAAAAATATATGCATATTCCAATGCAATTTCCTGCAATAACGTAGGGATAAAATACCAAGTCTGGGGCTTTTTTAATGCAATCATCATCTAGTGAACTGATTTTAGTTTCCACAAATTTTATTTATTTATTTTTTAAATATTAGATGTACATCGACTTTGTGAAATATGATCATCTCTCTAATTTAATAAAAGGGGAAACGATTCACAGGAGGAGATAGAGACTTAAATAGTTATAGGTGAGATTAAAATCCAGCTTTTTGCACGTGTATGCTCTGTTTTGATGAGTGGGATCATCTGAAAGATGCTGCAGCCACTTTGAAAAACAGGAAAATAATCTAAATAAGTCAAAGAATCAATGATTATAATGTATCCAAAATATTAACGCTGAAAACACATACAGGTGACTTTTGGTATTTGTACAACTTTAGCTTTTTGGAATATTTAGCCTTTTCTGTCACTTTTTTCTCTCATAGAAAATGAATTGAGCTCGTTTTACATCCTTGAAATCTTTAGATCTGTTTACAACCTTTTACTGCTCCTTTTACATTTTCTTCTTGTTCAGCTTCTTTTGGCTTCCTTGTGCAAATTTTAACATTTTTCCATCTACTTTCAGCGGCTTTTTCAGCTGTTTTGTGCTCCTTTCAGATTTTTTCTGCTAACTACAACATTTTTGTGCTTCTAACATTTTTCTGCTGATTTCAGCTTGTTATGCTCCTTTCAGCTTATTTCTGCAAATTATGCTATTTCAGACAGCTACTATTTAACTGTTTTATGTTAATTGCAGCTAATTCCACATTTTTTGCACCCATTTCAATTTTTTTCTACCTAATTCAGCAAAAATGTCCTTTCTCTACTTCCTTCTGGTAATTTCATCTTCTTTCTGCCTTTTAGCTACTTTTTAGCTGTTTGTTTTTCTTCTAATTTCAGCTTTTTGCAGATAATCTCCACTTTTTTTATGCTGATTTCTGCTCCTTTCAACAAATGTGTTCCTTATGCTTTCTTCTGCTAATTTAAGCTTGTTCGACCTTTTCAGCTACTTTTTTAAGCATTTTTAGCTCATTTAAGCTGTTTTCAGATAAATTCAAGTTTTTTTGGTAATTTCTGCCTCTTTCAGCGTAATTAACTTATTTCTGTTAATTTTAGCTTGCTATGCTCCTTTTAGCTTTCTTCTTTAGGTTCAGTTTTTTCTGCTATTTCAGCTACTTTTTAGCTGTTTTGTGCTAAATTTAGCTTTTTCAGCCAGTTCCGCTTTTTAGCTCCTTTATAATAATAATAATAATAATAATAATAATAATACTTTATTCTTATAGCACCTTTCAAACAAATGTTACAAAGTGCTTCACATTAATAAATTAAAACATCATAAATGACATCAGAAACACAAAAGTATACCAAATCAATTAAAATAACATTATAAAAAAGAAAGAAATTCAAATATTAAAAGCCTTATTAAGCAAGTAAGTTTTAACTAATGATTTAAAAGAAGACAACGAAGAGGCGTGTCTAATATTTAAAGTAAGAGCATTCCACAAATTAGGAGCCCTGACCATAAAAGCCCTCCCTCCTTCTGTCACCAGTCGAGCTCTGGGAGTGAAAAGTAATAACAGATTTAGGGATCTGAGATTGCAAGAAAGGATGTAGGGGGTAAGAAGCTCAGATAGATATGATGGTGCAAGAACGTTCAGGGATTTAAAAACAAACAATAAAAGCTCCTTCCACTTCCTTCTGGTAGTTTAAGCTTCTTTCTGCTTTTTCAGCTACTTTTCAGCTATTTTTTGCTAATTTCAGATTTTTTTAGTTAATTTCTTATTTGTTGTGCTAATTTCTGTTCGTTTATACCTAATTCAGCCAAATATGTGTTCTTTCTTCTTTCTTCTGCTGTTAGGTTTTTCTCCATTTTAGCTACATATCAGTATGTTTTTAGCTACTTCCAGCTGTTTTTCCAGCAAGTTCTTCAGCAATAAGCATTCACACTGCATTTTCACAGGAAATGCAATGTCTCTAGTTTTATTTGCTACATTTATTTATAATCCTGAATTTTGAATAACAAAAAATAACTAAGCAGAACAATTAACACAGCTGTTGCCTTTTTAGTTACAAAATATGTCAACATTAATTAAATGAAAGCAACAGAGTGCACTTCACTGTAAGATGAGAATAATTTGAACATACTTTCTAAAAATCATTTAAATATTTCACTTTTAGATGGAAGTTGGTCACAATGCAAACAGTTTGACCTGCACACTTATTTAAAATGTAAATAAGAAGCATAACAAAATGGCCACAAATATGGAAATACCTGTATATGGTTTTTATGAGACATTTCTCCTCTTGGTTATATTTTTATAATGCTCTGGCTTTCTCCGTACCCAGTATTTACCAGAGAAAGCTTCACGTGATTCTGTACACACTGACTTCATTACTACAAGCATGAGGGAAAACACAGAACTCAGTTAAAGTAATAAAGTCAAGGTGCTTCTAAGCTGTTATTGCTGCATGTGGTGGACACACTTTTTAGGTTGTTGATGTTGCCTCCTAAGTTCAAGGCTAATGGATTTAATACACTGAGCAAGGATGAACATGAACATTTATTCACAGAACCAGGCATGATGAAAACGAGGCACATGTGTGAATCACATCTGCTTCGAGTACATCCTGTATGAAGTATTCTCCGTGTCTCTTTTTAACAGCTGGCGGTCATCTGATGCTCTGCATGCAGTGATGCCTGTTATAGAGAAGGCAAACTTGGACATAATACTGAAACAGCACATTTGAGTCGTTTCTTTCAGATGGTTTTACTTTGAGAAGTAATAAACATTTTTCAACACATGCTGTTATGAGTGAAGTAAGACTGACCTAATCGGGGAAAATCTCATGAATAACTCCTAATTTCAAAAATCATTCCACATCATGTGCAGATAAACTAAAACATGGCAAGTTTTTTTATACTAAAATAAACAATTGAACCTTTGAAAAAAAATATTTTAAACATTGACAAATCCCTGTTAAATTTCCTGCATGTATTGTGGAAATGGATTTGGGTAACCATGAATAATTAAGATCAGCAGCACTCTGTCTTAGTTCCCATGCTGACTTTATAAAATTATTTTATTTGCAGATTTCACATCTTTTCAAATAAAAGTGTACTTATTACACCGAGTTTAGCGGAACCCATTTAAATTTTAAAGACTATGAGAAAGCATCAATTAAAAAATACTATAATAAAAAAAATTAAAAATGGGGGACAAAGCTAAAAAAAAGTTTACTTCCCTGAAGTGAAAAACTTTAAAGCTTTTAAAATACTTTCTGAATACACTTGTGTGACTTTTGTGAAACAATCCTCACCAAGAGCTAAATATTAATATGAACATCAATCATCTCAGAAAAGTGGCATGTAAAGACCATTTTTAAGCCCCAAAATGTATTTAGTTGTCAAATAACCATCTTGAAAATTATATTTATGTCCTTAAATATTCATTGTAAATAATAAATACTACATGAGTGAGCATTTGTGACCCCATGTGCCTCAGATGCCTAAAACAAAATGAGTAGTGCTTCTCTGATTTACCCCAACATGGCAGTAGTTATGAGCCATTACAGTATTTGTAGAAATCTGGGATGACAGATCTCGTACAATCATAGTGAAGTCAGTATTGTTCATTCCTTTGTTGTCATTATTTGTGTGTGTTGTGTTTGCGTGTGTGCTGTCCTGTGCTATTCTTCATGGATGTGAGCCTGCTATCCTGTGCGAGTCTTCCTTTTTAAAGTTAAATGTTTCTAAGACAAAGGAGATGGTCATTTATTCTAGAAAAAACTCTTCAGTTGTCACTCATGTGGTCATTAATAGTCAAGCTGTTGAAGTGGTGCATCAATATAAATATCAGGGAACTGTTCTCGATGACAAACTGACCTTTGATGCACATGTGAACTCACTTTGTAAGTAGGCCCACCAGAGAATGTATTTTTATCTGAAGCTTCGTGGTTTTAATGTTGATTCGACTTTTACGAGAATGTTTTATTCATTTTTTGTTGAGTTTCTTTTAACTTTCACCTTAATCTGTTAGTTTGGACCTTTGATGTGCAAAAACAGGAACAAACTCTCATGGATTGTCAGGATGTGCAGCAAAACTGCTGGAATAGTCCTATAGAACCTCACTGACCTACACAAGGCGAGGTCAGTGATAAGGCCAGGCTGATTCTGGCAGATCCTGATCATCCACTCCACGGTGAGTTCAGGTTTCTTCCATCTGGACGTGGGTATCTGCTGTCCAGATGTAGGACGAACTCATTCAAGTATTGATCAGGCTCCTCAACAAACAGTGAGAATTTTTGTACTTTTATTTTAACGTCTTAATGTCTTGACTAGTGTGGATGTTTTGTGTGTCTATGATTGTGAAACAAATTGCCCCTCGGAGATAATAACGATTCTTGAACTTGAACTATCCTGACAACATGAAAACCACAACTTTAAACCTTATTTCGACTGATTAATCAGGATTCAAGGTTTCAAAGTATTTACAATATTTTTCTGACTTCTATGTTCATGTTCCTGTGCTATACAAGCACAATCGTAAGTAATTTATTTATTATCCGAGTCAATAAGCCTTGATGTCATGTTGTAAAACAAAGAGACTCCTGTCTAGAAGCAAAAACATCCTTCCAGGGAGCTCATAATGAGCTAAGCTTCTGAAACAGTTCAATATTAAGCATTGAACAGGCCTTGAAAGGACTGATGCCCATAAAAAAGCTCAGCTTACAGTAATAAGGATGCTCACTGTACAAGCACAGTGTGATAATGAGTTTAGATGCTGCTCTTTCAAATGAAATATTATAGCCTGAAAAGTTTATATATTTTCTCAGCTAAAAATACAAAAGAAAATGTCCCCAACTGGGTTTAACAAGGCTAACAGATTAGATCCTACTTTTGGACTAAAATCTGCAGTTAATGTGTTTCATGGAGTAACCCTAAACGATGCAGTAAATAGCTCCCTATTATCTGAACACCCACATCCTGTGGTTTTTGAGGTGGTGTTTGTTTCAGAAGGGTCAAATTCTTGGTCTGAATGAAGTCAACTTCAAAGGAGATCAAGAAAATTACTAAAATTGAGATAATAACAGTGTAACATTATTAAAATCTGGAGGGATGGTGGTGAACCATTTCTTAAAATGTTTGAAGAAATTACGTTGAAGAAAAAGATGCACAGAAAAACACAGCTGTGTGCGGTGAGAGGAGTTTCAACCACACGATGCAGTGAAAATACAAAGTACTGGAACTGCATGTGCGGCTTTAAGAAACACACTTTCACTGTGAAGAAACTAATGAAAATTCTTTATAAGGAAGCAAAACATCTTCATAAACCCAAACAGGCTCATTCAACAAGATCAATATATTTATTTTTATTCATTCAGGTACTATAACATTGTTAATTACTCCATTTACTTTTTCATCTAAACAACTTTGCATACCCAATAAAATGGACCTAAAATTCTCTTTGTGTTTACATGCAAGAAACTTACTGCCAAATGGTTGATATTTGAAATGTACATTATGAATAAATTAACAAAAGTGAAACACTTGATCTTTCCAAATACTGAGCCTAGTTCAGTGTATGGACAGTATACAGTACAACTGTTTTATAACTGATAGTGACTGCTTTATAAAAAGTTTGCAAACTCATAAATAACCTATTTTAAAAACATTACTAAATCCTTTCTGAAATGGTCCTTTGTTTGCCGAGCACTGGAGAGAAAAATCATGCACTGACTTTGCTTCATGCCACCCATACATACAGTATATGTGCGGGTACTTCAGTTTGTTGGGGTGCAGCAAGTTAATGTCTAATACTTGAGGACGAGCAAACTGAATATCCCAAATGACTGATTTTGTTTTATTCCCATATATATTTATTTTCTTGTTCTTCTCTGACTGAAGATATGAACCACATGACAATGCTAGAACGCATCAGGCTCAAATTTTGTAAAAAATAGTTTAAGGAGGATTGTCATACATGGCTTGGCCACTACAGCGCTAAGATAGTAAGCCCCCACTGAGAATTGTGGGAAAATGCTGAAGCAGACGTGATGTAGTAGTTTGACTTTTCCAATTATTCATGTAAGCATTAGTCAGAAATCATATAGACTGCAAGAAATATGACAATTTATAGGTTATTAAAATGATTCTATGGAAAATGCTGTAATCAAACTTAAAATGTACCCAAGGGTGATATATTTTATTTTTTCCACTGATTAGTCTAAGACAGTATTGAGGCTATCGTCGTGAAATCTTTGTTAGGACAATTGTTTTGTTTTCTGAATGTTTATATTTCATAAACAAAATGCATTTTACTTGTGACAAAGCCCCATCTGGGATGACTATCTACTTTTTCTTCTTCTTTTTTTTTCCGGCTTTTCCCTCTTCAGGGGTCAACACAGCGAGTCATCCTCCTCCATCTCACGCTGTCCTCACTCCATCTACCTCCATGTCCCCTCTAACTGCATCCATATATCTCCTTTTTGTCTTTTTCCTGGCAGATGCATTTCTTACATCCTTCTATCAATAGAAAGGACCAATTGCTCCTCACAGTTCCAGGAACTCGTCTTAAGCGCAGAGGTGACTGGGCCTTCTAAGTAGCAGGACCAAGACTTTGGAACGAGTTACCTCTGCTTGTCAGACTGGCCCTCTCCCTTTCGATTTTCAAATCCCGTTTAAAAAGTCACTACTATTCAGTAGCTTTCAACACCAGATGATCTGTGTTTTGAACCTGTACGCTCCACACTGGTTTGTTGTCATATTTATTATCTGCATCATTTTTATGTCTATATTTTTGATTTACCTCATTTTGTATATTGCTTCATGTGTTGTCTGTTGTTCTGTCTATACAGCACTTTGGTTGTCCTTGTAGCTGTTTTAAGTGCTCTATAAATAAAATGGTATGGTATGGTATCAGTATTTGCATGGTCCCTCCTCTGGACATGTCCAAACCATGGTCTGGGATGACCATCAATAAATAATTTATAAGAATGCAAAACATCCATATACACTTTAACTAATAGCTTTGAATTGATTATGCTCAATTTTGACATTAAAACAACACTTAAGAAAATGTTTTAGCCACAAATGTTATCCTGCAAAATTTAAAGCAAATGGGTTAAAACATGATTTAAAGGTTTGGTGCAGAAAGCTGAAAGGTCTACTGATTTTGGTTGATGTGCCATGCAGTCACACGAACGACACAGAAGTGTGGATGCTGCCATCTGTCCTGTGTTGTTTAAAGGTCTTACTTGATTACATGTGACAAACATGAACGATGATGTTCCACCTGCACTAACGAAGCATAGAAAACAGATCGATTCACCACAGACATGTTTATTAAAAAGCAAAAGGACACATGCAGCCCTGATTACAGGAAGGTATTGAAAAATTAGAAACTACATGATGGCATGAGGCTTAATGTTGCACTCATTAAATTAAGTACAACAGTCCATGGTAAAACCCCAATAAAATTCCACACTTTGGTTTAGAATAACTTGCATTCTATGTAATACAGTTTCTTAACAAAGCTGTCCATCTGCCACTGAATACAAAAAGGCCTGCATGTATGGAGAAAAGCACAACACAAACACAGTCATCCAAATCCAAAATGTGCACCTCCAGACAAAAGGCCATTTTCTCTGATAGTTTCACCGTAGTAGTACAAATCATCTGTCAGAAATCTGATAAACTGAGCTGGGAAGAAGCGTGTGTCTCTTAGAAAGAACCTGAATATGTTGCCATTTCCAAATCTGTTTTTTTAAGCATGCATATAGCTGTGGAGGGAGCAGAGTGCATAAGCACATGTTCAAGCAAATGGGAGTGTTAAAAAACTACCAATCTGCTGGTAATAATCCACAACCCCCTGGGTTTCATACAATCACCCTGGTACGTTATAATGGCAAGTAAGCATATTCCACATGATTCAATGTCACCAATCAGACATCAGCGTTACGTGCAGGAAGCGAAAGAACAAAGGAAGGTTAGGTGTTGAAGTAATCACACCGTTTCATATTAAACTGCTAAGATAAGGTAGCTGTCAGTAAAACAATAGAACCAGAAAAGGAAATGAGGGAGGATGTACAAAAGAGAAAGGAAGCCCTGCAGCAGCAGGCAGGTGCCATGTGGTAGCTGTATTAAAGGGGGTGTGCTGTTGTGCAATCAGTGGCTTTGGCTCATACCACAACAACCAAACATAGCGTAGAAGCTCATGACTGCGCTGTTGTACTCACCTAATATCTGACTGAAAAGAAGCTGCTCCAGGTCACCCAGCACTGTCACCACCAGCTCTGGATCCACCTTTAAGAAGGGCTTATCTCCCCCTTCCTCTCCTTGGCCTTTGGAAGCGGACTCTACTCCAGCTCCAGCCCCAGCTTTCTTTGGGTTGGTCTTGGCTTTGCTTGAGAGTATTTCATCATCTGACTTCCCATCCTCAGGTGCCTTGCTCAAAGGCTTCACCTCAGCAAAAGGACCACGAGGTATGCGACTCTGCTTGCCTAGGGCAGTGGGAGCAGCTAGTGGGCTGAAGGGCTTGGGTTTGCCCTGGAACAGTGAGTGTTCAGACTTGGATAGGTTTCGAGAAAGAGGAGCACCACCGCCGGCACTGCTGTCACCTCCTGGGGTCTTTGGCTTGCTCGCCTTGCTCTGCCCTGCTCCAGGCTTGGCCATGTCATCACACCACTTTGGCTCGTAAAGATGCAGCTTCTTCTCAGCATCAGTGAGTACAGCCAGGTTTGTCATCGACCTTTGTTTGCGAAGACTTGAAGGCACTGGTATCCTGCCCTCAGAACTACCAGCCCGGTAAACCTTTAGTTCACTCCTCTGTGTGCTCTGGGGCACTCCTGACTTGGGCCTCTTGGCTGCCATACCAACTCCTTTGCCATCTGCTTGGCTGTACCCTTTAGTGCTATCCGTCCTTTCCATCTTCAGATCTCCTTCTCTGCCTTTCACACTAGTTCCAAACATGTCTCCTGCATGAGAACATATCTCAGGAAAGCATCATGATGGAGAAAGGTTTTCTTACTTAGACCCTTCTTCTTGTGTGAAATCAGACATAGAAATGTTTCTTCCAAGTCAGTCCTGCCGCCTTCTGTTTCTTCCCTCTGCCTCCTTTTCTCCTCTGTCCTCCTGGCAGGCTGCTGCAGCTGCTGCTGCTGTTGCAGTGCTGCACAGGCGCTCCCTTTCTCTCCTTCCCTCCTGTCCTCTCCTCCGTTTTTTCCACTCTCCTCCCTTCTGCACACCCTCCTGCTGCTGAGCCGCGCAGCAGCAGAATGACAGCGGTGGCAGACGCAACAGTACTGCCTCCTCCCCTGCTGCCTCTTCTTCGCCTCCGCCTTCCTACCCATCCTCTCTCCCTCCTCCTCCTTCCGTCCTTTTCCGATAAATTAAAGATGCTTTGCCATGTCTCACCAGAACATGTGAAATGCAAGAGAGATGAAGGTACATTTTATAACCCTGGCACAATCTTCTTCTAACACCCCTCACTTTCCCACCATTTCCTGTGATTCCTTTGTTCTTCCCCTCCCCCTCTTCACCTCCAGGCTTCACTGTTCAATACTCCTGATGCATGGTTGTGAATCTATACACGTTCAGATATATAACTGCACACTATACAAGAATTTATAATCACTGTGACAACAAGTCCATACAATGCATCAACTAGAGCATCCAGATTATCTCTTGATCCCGTCTGAGCTTCAATATGATATCTATTCCAGAATATAACCGGATAAATCACTTGTTTAAAAAAAACAGCTGTGTTTTCCAGCTGTTTTTTATGTCAACATAGGCACTAAAAGATTATGTATTAAAAAAGTCACTTGTCAAACAGAGGACATTAGCAGGCAGAGAGAGCAACAAGAATGGAATGGAAGCAACACACCCTAAACCACACTCTGGAAATATCTTCTAGGCAGAGATAAATGCATTTAAACACTGACATGCAAACTAAAGCACTATGGAAAATTGAAAATTCAGTTAAATTGTTTAGGGAATGAATTATCTGCTGGCTTGTTTAAGACATTCCGCCCAGCACCTCTCAGGAGGATTCAGAAGGCGCTGCAGCTCCTGCATGCAGGGCAGCTAGTTGGAAAGCCTCTGTCGTTCTGCTTGCATGTCATCTACATTTGTCCCTGCTGCTCTGCACAAATACAGCTAACAATGATGCATTTATTCTTTTTAACAAGTGATAGTTCACAGTTTTGTGCAACATTGGTTTTGCACGTCTTCAAACCTCTTAACTTTGAATACGGAGTTGCTTTTTTCCATGGGGCGAATCCTGCACATTTCAGTGACATCTTAGCTTCAACGTCCGGAAGGGGACCTCTCCAACTCTCACAGTGGCTTTCAACACACCCCACTTCCCTCTTTATTTGGTTCTCAAGGCACCTAGGGTGGCTTGGGCTCCAGAAATTTTTATCTGGCAGTTAGTTTGCGAAAACAAAGTCAAGCCTTGTTCATCGTCACAAGTTTGCTCTCCAGCTGTCTGAGTGATCAGCAACGCAGACCTTTTACTTACTTCGATGCAGGGAATAATTTATTTGTTCCAGAGGATGAGAATGTTGTTGTGAATGTAAACCAAAGTTTGCAAACCTTACAAAAGAAGCAGCTTGCATCATACAGAAATAAGATGAAGTACCGCTGATGAAAGTTTTGATCTTTCAAACCACAACTTTAGTCTAAGCAAAATAATTTCAACAGTAGGTTTACACAGTTTCACAATCTCCAAAGAATGAAGTCAACCGAGCAGGGTCTTTGTGTCAACTTGGAAAATCTCAAGGAAACTTGGAGTATTTCATTAAACTCTTTCACCACATCAGTATTTTTATTTGTTTGGTTTTATCCAAAGTAAACAAACATATTTTATTGCCTCATTCATGAGTGCTAAAAATCTAGTATGAAGAACACAAGAACATTATGAACACTGATTAAAGTCCAGTTGATTTAGGCTCTCCAGTACCACTTCCATATATTGAAATGTTTATTGTCGTCATTGTGCATACCCATACAGTGACGAAACTTATGCTCTGCATTTGACTCATCAGACATGAGGTACACACAAATGGAGCTGTGTAAGAACCCACGGAGCAGTTAGGGAGTTGGTGTCTAACTCAAGAACACAGAATATGGGGATGGCTGGGGATCGGACCTGTCACTTTCCGGTCCCAAACCAGCTGCCCTAATACTGTGCCACAATCATTTTTTATTTTATTTTTTCATTTCCTGTCAGAATTTTATTTAATGCATTTAAAAGTGTAAAGTTCAAAGCAGTGATAAGCATTTTTTTCAGCGTATTTCACTTTCAGTCACAACGTCAGGCCTCAGGAGAGAGGAGGGTGGAGTTGAATTTTTCATTTCTTTCAAATCTGGGACTAATTCATGTTCTCCAGTTGCTGACAGACACACACACACACACACACACACACACACACACGCACACACACACACACACACGGTCAGCACAGTTTGTGCTCCTCAGCTGCCATGACTCAATGAGCTCAGTGTTATTTGTGAGACCTCCACATGTGCTCAGAAGGGGAAAACCACAAGAACACGATCATAACTACTTTTTGTCCAAGAACAGAGCAAACCTTGGGCAAAAAATAATGATTAATTGCAGTTTCATTCTGTAGGAAGGCAGCAACTCCAAAGACACAGCCAAAGTCATGACAAACCAGTCTCGCTGTATTTATCTGACACACTATGATTCAATGATGATGAAATATTGCATGAAAATAACTTGAACATTATTATCATTTACATACATTTAAAAAACAAAACTCTCAACGTACTGACACTGAAATAAATTATAGGTTCCATATTGGTAGCTCAGTTGACCAGTTTAATGTAAATTTCATTACTGAGATATTATAACACCCCGCCCCCCATTACTTCACATTTCATTTTATATTGCCTTTCACAGTTTGTCTCTGTCTGAATTATGTCAGCATTAATCTAACTTTTAGTTTAATGGTTAGCTCTTCTTTATACTCCATTTGTTCGTGTTGCAACTCTGTAATGAGATGTTTAAAATTTTAACTTTCTGTTCTTATAAATTAGATTCTGGTCAACCACAGCGTCCACTTTGCCCTTATTAAATAATTCTTGTTTCATTTTTTTTTTTAAAGTACATTTATATTCTTTCTCTGTCACACATCTTGTTTGTCTTCTCAACTAGCTATTGTCATATATTCATCTCACTGTTTCCTCTTCCCACTTTTTTCCCCACCCATCCAACCCCACACCATCACACTCCTATTTTTGTTCTTTATTTTAAAAATGTTTTCACTTGGATTAACATGTAAGTTGAAAACATTGTTTTTTGTGGGGCTTTGAGCCAAATATTTTGCTGCTTATATTCATCAGGCTTCTTTCTATATATTTCAGCACATTTATTTCTAAAGTTTTGAAGGACAAACGAGCAGGTTTTCTGAGACACCATTTAAAGAGGTTAAATGTATCTGATGACCTTCTTACTGCCCCCTTTGAAACAAAAACATTGATTAGCACTGATAACTAAGTAAGCAAGCCTAATCCAATGTATCACCTGTTTTTCTGTGGCATTGCATTCCTACAGTAGATTTAATAAGTGATGCTATTGTTATTTTTATTATTCTTGGTGCAACTTTAAATGTGGTTCAAAATAAAATATGATTATTTTTTAATCTATTAACTTTAGATTTGTTAAGTGTCTCTGGTAATATTTTACAATCTGCAGAGAGAAAGAGAGATAAAACCATAAATTTGTTCATTTCGTAACCAGTGTTGAGTGATTAAGCTGATTGGAAATCATGTGTTTTGAACTTGTGTCATCCTGATGCTTGGCTTTTGTGTTTCTTGTTGATTTGTTTTCTTTTATTCTCTGTCATCATAGATTCAGCTCATTTTGTCCTGTATTTGTTTAATTTATTTATTTATTTTAGTTTTTTCCCTATATCATTCATGATTGCGTTCTCTTATTCAGTCCTGCTTATTACTCACCAATCAGCCCAGCAGCATCCACTTATTCATCGTATCTCCCTGCACCTTTTCGCTCTGTTCTCATCCTGTCATCAATCTGTCGTTCTTTTTGCTCTTGATCCACTTTGTTTTCCCTGTCAGGCTTTTATGATTAAATCCTTATTTCTCCTCACTTGCCACTCTCAGTTACTCAGTCCTCACCTCCTTCTACAGGTGTGCAGTGGAGAGCATCCTGTGCTTCAGCATCAACGTGTGGCATGGAGGCTGCACAGCTGCAGAAAGAAAAGCTCTGCAGAGAGTGGTGAAGGCTGCACAGAAGTCTGTTGGAGTCAGCCTCCCCACCATCGCAGACATCTACACCTCTAGATGTAGGAAGAGAGCCACCTGCATCACTCACCCAGCACACACACGTTTTGCCCCACTCCCCTCAGGAAGGAGGTTGAGGAGCATTAAGTGTAGAACCACTAGACTGAGGAACATCTTCTACCCTGAAGCTGTTCGACTCATGAATCTCTTATCAGGATTATCACTGTAAAAAAAATCACTGTAATGTCACTTGATTGTTGATATGTGCTGCTGACTATCCATGCTGCTGATTTATTTCACGCTGCTGTATTCATTCATAATCATCTACTCACACAGACTCATGTTCGTGCTGCTGTTGTTCAGCATACTGTTTTAGTACTATTTGTGTTAAACATTTTCTTAGTTTAGTGTATTTCTTAGTTCATATCTTAGATCTTATTACTGTTTTTCTTTACAATTTATACTTTTGTTGGATGTAACTGGGACCTTGTGTACACAATTTTGTTCGAATGACAATAAACAAACCTTGACCTCATATAGGACCGCGTCCTTGCATCCTTTGTCTCCAGACTTGACACACTGAGGAGTTAAGTTTGTATTTTGGAACCTGTTTATTTGGAGCAAACTTTTCAAATACTTGTTTTGATGTTATATTGAATATATTTGATTTAACCAAGTTCAATATGGACAAATCCTAACCCTTATCTCTGTTAGTTTGTAGCTGAAACCACATGTTAGTCAAGTAAAACTATTTGTCTGGTCAGAAATAGACTCAATCACTCCTATCTGTCCAGAAATCTGATCTTCCCATCAGAGCACTCAGTCTCTCTGGTCTAGGTCTGTCCATCCTCTGGGAGGACCACTCAGTCATCAGTCTGGTCTCTCCCAGAGGAGACTGGAGGCTCTCACCTCTCAGTCATTATGGTAATTAGGATGTCTGTTAGAGGCTTTCAGGATGTCCAGTCATGAGATCACCAGTGACAGTTACTATACCACACATGTCAGTCACAACAAAATTATTCAGAATATATTTTTGTTTGTTGAACAAATTACTTCAGAGGCATAAGTTCATTCACTTGTACTGAAAACAAAACAACAACAAAAAAATCATTACCAAGTGGAATTATTTCACAATTTTCTTGTAAAAAAAAAAAAAAAAAAAAGAACTGGAAATGTTGGTTGGTACTGAATGATTCACTGTAAAACTGTAGAGTTCAATTTAATGTCTCCTCACAACGTTTTTTAATTGCAAAATGTTTCAGCCCTTACAAGAGTGTACATGATGTGCAAAGAAGAGCATAAACTACAAAATTAAGGACACTAATGTTTCAGCAGGTTATGTGGAGATGTGGAAGGACTTGTTTGTGGGTTCTAAAACAATCACTGAACATCATCATCATCATCATCATGCCACTGCTACCTATCTTGGCCTGGTCTTACATGAAAATAAATTATCTTAATGGGATCTACCTGGTAAAAAGCCAAAACAAACAAACTAAACAACAAAACAGCACCAATAACAACAACAACAAAAGAAGAAGAAAACTTCCCCTTGTGCTAGTCATTCTTCAGCCTGCATTTAATGGAAATCTGAATGGAGTCAATAAAAGTGTTTCCAAAAAAGGAGCTAAAATGGAACAAAGGTTTATGCTGATTTTATCTTTACTTGCTTCTTCCTTTTTGGGTAGTGGGGGTTACTGGTGTCCATATCCAGCAATCACTGTGCGAGAGGCGGGGGACACCCTGGACAGGTCTCCAGTCCGTCACAGAGACGACAAATGAGACAAACAACCATTCACTCTCTCACTCACAACTAGGGACAATTTAGGGTTACCAATTAGCCTAACATGCATGTTTTTGGTCCGACGGAAGAAAGCGGAGTACCCAGAGAAAACACACATATGCACAGAGAGAACATGCAAACTCCACCCAGAAAGACCCCCAGACAGGATTGGATCTGGCAAGAATTTAATATTAAAAAGTGTGTATTTTTTCAAGCATTCTGATTCTGAGCACCAATCTGCTATCATGTATGTTGTTTTTGATGTTCTTCTACATTTAGCAGCAGCATGTGAACTGGCGTGTTTGTGTTTGTTTATATTTCTGCCATAAAGTCAATTTTAATGTTGAACATTTGAGCTTATGAGCACATGATGTGTGGAAAAACTAATTACAAACACATCCTTGGTGTATTTTGTGTGTAGCGTTAATCAACATTGAGCTGTTTGACTCCAAGTTCAACAGATTTTAAATATCTTAGTGTCTGTCTAAAAAAGATAAACATTAAAGTGCTTTCATTTGTCCAGATTTATTGAAGTTGTTTGCTCTTCAAGTGTAGCTGTGGAAAAAACTACATTTATAGAAGAAATCTTTCAACATGTGCAGCAGCACATTTTACAATGACCGTACAACAATGTAAACTCAATTATGTGGTTAAAACTATAACTCATTACAAAGTGAGCAGCTTCTTTAAAACCTTTCAAATCAATATAACTTGTTTAGAGTAGTGCTTCCGTCATGTAATCTCTCTCTAATTAGGCTTAACTGATTGAATTGTCATGATTGTGTCCATTAATGATGAATTGCCTTCATTCAGAATTTTTTTTTTTTTTGCACTAGGAAGCAATGTTGACTAAGCCTAATTCAAACTGCATTTGTAAGAAAACATCTAAGCTGTCTATGTGAAGCAGACACCAGGGCAAACACAATAATCAGCTGTCATTGATTTTTTTATAGCACCGACAATCATGACATGAAGTTGATTTTGTGAGCAAATCAGATTCAAAGCAAATACAAGAATTGTGGTTCAAGTTTTTTTTTTACCCAAAGATTGTATTCCCACAAGTACATAAAAAATTATTTCAAATTCTTGATGCACATAACAGGTGGTACATATAATGTGCAGCAATCGTTGCGGGTTTGGCTTCAGACTTGGTGAGAAAATCCACAGAGCTGAAAAGTCGGCCTTATAAAAGTTTGGGTGTTACAGGATGTAATAAAACACAGACGTAAAACCAGTGTTCTGCAAAACCAAGTGCCTGACCTCAATGAAGTGTGTTAAACAGGTTTGTTTTTGTTGTTAGGGATTTATTAAGTTCTTGGGTTTTGTGGCAAGAAAGAGGCGAAGTCTGAACATCTAGAGGGTGCAGTTAAGAGTTTATGGTCTGACAGATCTTTAATTTAAAATCCAGGATAATAATCTACCAATATTACCCTTTTAAGTTATATTTTATTTGTAGTACTATATCAAAGGTTTATAAACTTTTCAGCTCCTGATCCACAAAATAGCATCTTGCACTAAGAACAGCTCAGCCAAGAAATGTTTGCTTCTCTTTTAAATGCATATAATATATTGCCAGGGCTTAAAAGGTTAAGTATTACATGATTGCTAAGATGAGAAAAACAGATTAAAAAAAAGTTTTTTAATTGGGACAAATACTTTTTAATGACCAAAACCCAAGGTTAGGAACCAATTTTTCAGAGCCTCTTTTTGCATACCTTCCAAATTGTAAACTATGGATTTGGTCAGTTGGTCTCTCAAAGCAATTGATCAAACTTTCTCAACAAGAAGACAAGGTGAAGGAGACCCCTCTTACCTTGATGGAAACATAACTGGATTTGTGATAACAGGATTTTACTTTTTGGAGTTGGTGGAAATCTGGATTATTGACTAATTTGAAAATGTCAGCAGCTGTTTAAGCTGCCTGGAATGTGTGTGTTGGGCTTGGCAACACTCAGACTCTGTGCAAACTATCTGTGGGCCTGTATCAGAGCTGATCAGGCTGATAGTATCAGGACTGTGGAACTTTCAGGCAGTGTTCACGGACGTTTGGAAGGTATAGATCTTGGAGAAGTTTTAAGCTTGACTTCAGTATAAGCAATTACAGTTTGGCTGTTTGGAGTCATCATGAGATCTACTAGCGAGACTGTAAAGGCAGAGGTGGAAATTAACAAGCTCGGCCTGACCCAAAACAATGTTGAAATCTGAATCTGGAATCTGACTCTGGCCTTGGAAGGCTGACTATCTCAATGTATCCTTGGATGTTATGAAAACAAGATGCTCTGCTTCCCTCTCCAAGGTCGTGGACCTGTGTCAGAGCTCAACTGAGCCAGCTGATAAACAAACACCTCTTATCAGGACTATGGCTAGGAGGAGTCTCTGGACTGCTATGACTTCCCCCCAAACTCATGCCTTTGCTGGTCTCCCTCATTGCCTCCCCTGGTGCAGCAACCTAGGAGATGCAAAGGCACCAAAGGGCTGCGTCGCTCACCTGGCGGCCGTGCTGGGACTCCCACCCCCATCCACTCCACATGCATATGTGTTATGTCTATTTATAGCTTTAAATGTGCTCTTTCGTGTGCTGGGGTCTTTTTTGCAACTCACAATGTGTCCTGTAGGATGCAATGTGAGATTTGATGGTTTTTACCTCTTCTTCCCCCGTGTTTCTTCTTTCTTATCTGTAAAAAAGAGCTGCGCCTCCCGAGGCCAGCGGCCTCAGTCACCTCCGTCGCCCCCATGTCTATTGTTTTAAGTTTTCTTGGACGGGTGTAACTGAAATGTAATTTCATTGTGCTCCAGTAAAATGACAATAAAGCTGATTATGATTATTTACAGTCTCGGGTGAGCTCACTGATATCTTATTGAAATAATCCGAAGATGTAAACTCACCTAAATCATCACAACAGACCTCCATTGAATCCGAGGAGCAGTCACTTAGATCATCAAAGGTGGCATCTGAGTCCTCGTTGACCTGAAACCTGCAAAATATCAAACATTTAGCATATAAAGAAACATACATGAAATATGTGAATGAAAAACCTTAAAAGCCAAGGAAAAAGTTGTTATGAGTCTGAATTATTTCTCCTGTGCCCTAAAAAAAAGACAGTTTCCTGCTTATCTTTCCATCTTAAAAAGGTGAAACACTGCCCTCACCTGAATCTGAATGGAGCAACAGCAGCCATGGTAATTTTTGCCGGCTCACTTCCTCTGCGTTTCATGTTGAATGTCCGATACGGATCCTTCGATTTGCTACTGAGTATCTTTCTTTCGGAAGTTGTCCGATCCTGGTTTGATATGTTCCTCACTTGTTTTTGGAAAGGCTCCAGTCCAGCTGAAGACAGCCGTGACATCTCATTCCCATTTGGCCCTTTGGTGTAAAGAAGACGTCCTCCTCTGTGGCCTGACTGAACATCAGCAGAAAGCTTCTGTAAGGCGTCTCCTTCTTGGGCATTGTCCACATTACTGAGACGACACTTCCCAAAGGTCCAGTTCTGGTTTGTGTTTCTTCTAAACTGCAGGTCTTTTAAAGCTTTCTGAGTTGCTGTGCTATTGCAAAGGTCCAACGTGTCTTTAGATCGTGAGAAATCCCTCTTTGGTATCTGAGGGCTGCTGTATGCTGAACATGTCCCGTCTCTTCTCTCTGTAGCTGCTGGGCCTCTGTTTGAATACATGCTCATCTTTTGCTGCAGCAGCTGGTTTTTTAAAGCCCTACCTCTCAGCAGGTCTGCAGGGCCCGAGGAAGCAGATGATGAAGATGATGCAGGCTGTCGTTTAGCAGCATGCTGAAACTGCACCGCAGGATTGGGGAGGCCACCATACTGTTGTTTGGGATCCATCTTTGGGAGAGGCATCATGCTTTGAGGTAAAGACAAACTTGTACTGACACCTGTATCACTCCGGCTCTGAGATATGACTTTGATGTTGGCTGCACTGCTCATGGTTGGTGACACTCAGTGGTTTGAGATCTAAAACACAATACAGAGAATCAAAAAGTGCATTGTTACATCCCAAAAGATATAACATCGTTGACAAGCATGATCTCAAACGTGCAGAGTTCTATTAGTTCCTTTAACTCCTGGTGTAACAAACATAATCAATACCATGTGATTAGAGGAAAAGCAAGAGAAAAAGTCTTGAACTGGTTGTTTTCCAGGAGACAATTCAATACAAGCAATACTGCAATCAAAAAGACAATTACAAGTTGAGGAAAATGTTATCAGTTGCCTGTACATACATAAAAACACAACCATGTGGTGCTTTGAAGCAGGTTAGAATCTTCCAAATTAGACCATACCTTTTGTTTATGATTAACATTTTCTTGTGCTTCTTAAACATATAGAGAACATCCTGTTAGAGACCACATCAGTTGGTGTTCTGTAGTTTTAGTTGACGATTACTGTTTTAACAGAGATTTATTTTAGTTATCTGTATCAAAAAAAAAAAAAAAAAAAGAAACCATCCAGAACATCTGACTGAACATTGTTGGATTTTATACCTGGATTACTGAGCATGAACTTTGGTGTTTTGAACCACTTTGGTATGACTGTCTCAGAGGAGTTGATGAGGGAGAGGGCAGGCCCCAGAGGCCATCTTAGCACCAGCAAACAGTTTTTTTCCACTATGCTGATTGTGGGAATCAGTTTTGTTTGGTGGCTTCTCAGATTGAGGAAGTCTGTTGGATGAAGGTTGAAACGTCTCAGCAACAAAAACAAAATAAAAATGTCCAGATGACCTGAATGAACATTGTTGGATTTTATACCTGGATTATTGAGCATGAACTTTGGTATATGCATTGAACTTAACCAAATGTCCTGTCTTTCCTCGTTGCTGGAAATTGCAGAACAGCTTTATAGGATCTGACATTTGCATTTTTGGAACCAGAGTCTGTTCACTCAAATTGTGAGGCTTGAAAAATTAAGTGCATCAACAACAGTTAACACCTGAATATACTGTATATCGGTACTTTTGTTTTTCCTAAGGGCAATGCTCCCTTTATTTTTGTGTAGGGGTCAGGACTTGAAATTTGTACTAGTTGTTGGCCCCATTCTGGTTTCAACTTTGAGGTATTTTTTGGAGATCCAAATATATGTAGGCTATGGAATTAAATGATGTCATGATTAGATGGAAAGGGTGGGGTTGTGGCCCTGATGAAACCCCCATCATTATCTCTGTGGTGGAGACGTGCTGCCAGTGTTGGCATGGCCTGAAAGGAGCAGTCCCCCCTCCTGCTGCATGTGCCAAGTGGTGTCAGTCTGCCACCAGCCTCCACAGCAGGTTACACACCGGAGATGGTGGAAATAGAACCAAGACATTGAGCAAAGCTGTTAAAACATATGCTGTCTTTTAAGAAGTACGTAATTGTTTGATTACTTCTCATTTGGTTGTTTTCAGATAAACGATACAATTTCGAACACAATACACTTTACATTAATTGTTTCTAAAAATGCTTTCTTTTTACATTGCTTTATTTTTTATTCTTAATTATTTAACTTAATCTCTTTTGTCACTATACTGCTTAAAAGTTCAACCGAGGGTCAAAAGAACATCAGACTCAGTGCTCTGGTTAGAAGTATGAACTGGTGACTAGTCTGGGTTTCAGACCTCAAGGCTTCTTTGACGATGTAACTGATACTGGTTATAAAGGTCTTTTCATTCAAACCATCCTCCACCCCATTCTCCCTCTCATGCTTCCATTCTTTCATTTGGTCATGTGGTTAGAAACTCTGTCTCTGTGAAGCAGACACTATGGAATGTGCAGCTGTTTTACTGGATATGGTGAGTATAAATCTTAAATGAAAGCTCGTTATCTCCCGAGCAGTGAACAGCAAAGATGGACATCTACAGACTCTTGCTTATATAAACTGTGTCCCACAAGCAGAACATGAACACATACTTGTGCATTTAACACATTCATTAATTTTAGATGCTCTGTTAGTTTGTAGTTATTAATTTTTTATTATTGTTTATTTTCAAGCTTGTAAAAAGAAAAAGTTTGATACAAAGTAATGACTGTTCAAGAGATTTTGCTTCAGTACACAGAACTAAAACTAAAAACGTACAAAAGCTTAAAAACTCTTTGGGGTTTCTCAAATTTTATGGCATACATATGTGCACATGCTTTTTTTATTATTTCCACCCACAAATCCATTTGATTCAACTGAGAGAAAAAAAATAATTATAAAATAAAATAATAATAATAATAAAAAATAATAATAAAAATAATATATATATATATATACATATATATATATATATAAATTTATAATATATATATAAAAATTTATAATATATAT